AACCTATGCAGAAATTACTAGCTAAGAAAGAAGCTGCTGGAGGCATTCAAATGATGCAATGGCCCCCACAGAGCCCCGACCTCAACCCAATTGAACAGATCTGGGAATTGATGGATCAAAAACTTGACAAATCAAAAGTTACTTCCAAAGAAACTTTATGGCAGTGTATTAGAGATATTTGAAGTAAAATCCCAAAGGACACTTAGATTAAATATGTTGAAACAATGCCTAAAAGACTGTCTCCAGTTATTAAAGTAAGAGGGGGACACAAAATATTAACTGTACTAAATATGAAGATTAATAAATTTTTGATATTTCATCTATGATTTACCTTTTATTGTTCTTTGAAAGTAGCCTGAAATCTAATTTTTGACTTTGTCCTAATACTTTTGCACAGTACTGTAAGTAATTGGTTATAAATGATGAATGAAAGAGAAAAAATTAGTCACTGTTTCACCCAAATGGCATTCACAGAAATCTAGAAAAAAAACAGAAAGTGGGGTGTATTGCTATTGTTATGTGAACCACTAGGAAGTTCACCTTACAGGACTTAGGAGAAATATAAAAAGAATGGTTCGTTGTTATGGGAACCAATAGGAAGTTGAGAGTATATAAATCCAGGAGAAAAACAAAAAGAAGGATGTACTGTTTTGTGAAGCACTACGAAGTTGATGGTGTAGGAATTTAGAGAAGTAACAAAAAGTGAAGTATATTGTTATGTGAACCAATAGGAAGTTGAGAGTGTAGGAATCTAGGAGAAAAACAAAAAGAAGGATGTACTGTTTTGTGAAGCATTACGAAGTCGATGGTGTAGGAATTTAGAGAAGTAACAAAAAGTGAAATATATTGTTATGTGAACCAATGGTAAGTTGAGAGTATATAAATCCAGGAGAAAAACAAAAAGAAGGATGTACTGTTTTGTGAAGCACTACAAAGTCAATGGTGTAGGAATTTAGATTGGTAAACAAAAAGTGAAGTATATTGTTATGTGAACCAATAGGAAGTTGAGAGTGTAGGAATCTAGAAGTAGAGTGGGCTTCTTTGATAGATTGTTTAGTTGAATGTATGGCAATTGCCTGTTGTAGAAACAAGTGTAGAGGATGATGTTTCAAAAGTCTTCCACCTTTCGTCTTCAGGGGGAAGATTTTTGAAAGTCATCCTCTACACTTGTGTTTCTACAACAGGCAATTGCCATCCATTCAACTAAGTGGGGTTCATTGTTATGTGAACCAATAGTAAGTTGACAGTGCAGAAATCTAGAAGCAAGATGGGGTTCATTATTATATGAACCAATAGGAAGTTGAGAGTATATAAATCTGGGAGAGAAGTAAAGTGGGCTTCATAGATGCTTTTGTTTAATGAACACCAAAAACAAGTTTTTAATAGTTTAAAAAGATCATTGGATAGAGATATTTGTGCAGAATGAGTGATAGTGTTGTTAGTGTCGACTTAGTGCAAAAAAAGTACCTATAAAGAGCAGTAGTGATGGTGGTAGTATTTTTAGAAGGAAAAAAATTATCCATTTTATAGATACTGAAATTTTTGATATTTTTTAGGAGGAAAAATGTATTTTATGCTGGTTAATGGTTAAAGTTTTCTTCTGGTCTGATCAAAACTATAAGCTGAACTTAATATAGCTATTTCTCTTTTGGTTTTTTCGTGGGTAAGAAAGATCACTTAATGATTACCAGTTGGAATTTTGAATGGGTAGGAAGATGTGAGCATGCTAATTTCTCACGAAAAGGAGAATCACTAAAAGAAGCCAGCTATTACTGCAATATTGTGTTTTAAATATGTTTATTTAATTCTAGCCATGTGCTAAATTTTTCTAACATTCAGAAATTTTGTGTGATTTTTGTCTTTCTATTTTGTGTTGACATAAGTGGGTTATATTAGAATTGAAGTACGTTTAATGATGTTGCTTAAATTCTGCTTATAATAACTGTATTTAATACTATCTGCATATGAATAAATTAACATTTCAGGTAGAGATGTCTGGGAACAACACAGAGACTGTGGCAGTAAACTGTGAAAAGGAAACTGTTGTGGACACTTGTGAAAAGTGAGATTGTAACATCACAACTGTTGTGAATTACCTGAAACTGAAACTCACAGCCCTGTTCATTTGTGTCATGTAACATTTTTATTTGTTGTGTGTAATTATCAGGGTTAGGTCTGCGAATTTGTGAACTATTTGAAAATTTTAGGAATCATCACAGTTTGAACCATAATTTTTTAATTGATAACATGGTACAAAACACAAACCATAGAGAAAATCAGGACACATTTTTGTGTGATACATGTACTGTGTTAATTGGATTTGTTTTTATACATATTTTCTGTGCTGTTCAGGTTTTCCAGCAGTATTCCATGAAAACATTCACAGTTAACTTTTGTCCAGTAATGATTTTTTTTTTAGTTTCAGAATATTGTATTCCAGTTGTAATTGTAAAAGAGAGTGAACACTGATTTGTTTTGAAGCTTGTTTTCAATGTTTTACTTCTTTTGTGGTATGGTAGCCTGGCTGTTGAATTTAGTTCACAAACAATGTTAATACTTTTGTAGTTTTCAGTGAAATCACTTAATCTATTTAAGAAAAGATTAGATAATACTCTTATTGGTAATAACTCTGAAACATTTTCTTTTCTACAAAGTTTGAAACTGCTATTCCACTTCGATAAATTTGTGTAACATCTTTCAAAATGGTTTGATGTTTAAAATACTAAAATCTGTATGAAACTTCATGTTTTGTAATGGGAAGGTGAATTTGTGATAATAGATATTTTAATGGAAGAATGGTGATAACAATAATAATAGCACTTACATTTTTACACTGACTGTAATTAATCACTAATTTAAGTGAAACATGTTAGCATTTTAAAGTTTGGATTTTCACTAGTCAGGACTCCGTAAAAAAAAAAGTGTATAAAATGTGTTATTTGCTGTGCAAGTTGACCTAATCTAACTCTGTGACTAATGCATCTCTCATGTTCAGAGGTAATACACCATTTTATTCAGAAGCATAGTCTCTAATAAAGAGTTATTCCACAAAATTATCTGCAAAAATATATATAAGAAAGTTTTGTAATTTTTCCAATTATTAAACAACTGGAATTGATGATAAAATGTAAAAGGTTATATTGTGTTTATCGAAACTGGTTGTAACAACAATGTATGTAAGATAAGCTTGGTTTCACATAGAATGCTGCTGTGTATATTATCATCAGATAGTTCTTTTTTCTCACAAATTTTTCTTTCATTCTGTATGCCTTTATTGTTCATGTAGGTTTTTGGTCCCACCTTCGAGGTGCTGACTTCAATAAACACCAGGTGAAAGTGATCAGTCGCTAGTGGTAATTCTTTTCTTATAGCTTCTCATGTAGATATTATAAAGACTATTGCAAACTTATTTTATTTGCCTTTTTTTTTAAATGAACTTCATATATATTATTAGAATAAAACTAACGCGTGGATAGTACTTTATCGTTTAAATAACTAAAGACAGTTAAAAGCCCTTGTACTAAATCATAGGAAAATATATTTTACTCCAGAGATAATGACCAGATAAAACAATACACTAGGTCACACAAAGCTGGATGAAAATAAAGTAACATAAAAATAAAAAGGTATGTATATTAGATGCTGAAAATACACAAATTAAAAGTTTGACCTCCATATTTTAATGTATAAAATGAAATTAATCATTCACAAAAACCTCAGTTATTTGGGGGAAATATTTATTGATCCTGTATGTTTATTGGGCACAAGAACAAAAATAAAAGTTCTCACTAATGAAGGGTTAAAGCAGATTTTCCATCTCTTGAAAACTGTATGAAAAATTCCACTTTTATAAAAAAAAAATAAAAAATTCTGTTTTGTGGTTGAATGACAGCTTTGTTTTGTGTGTGTGTGTGTGTATATTGTTAATATATGTTTCTTAAGGACATCACCTTTTCCTTTTCAGGTTCTTGGTAGTTTTATAATATGTATAACATATGCAATATTTTACTTTATTTTTCAAATAGTTTTTTAATTGTAAATTCCTGTGGTTTAATGTCCTCCAAAAGGCAGTGTATATGTGTGAATGGAAATTTGTCTGATATTTTTTTTTTCTTGTGTGTTTGTGTATAAGTAGCAACACAGTTGTGTCACTCATATATGTATATGAATTTTAGGGTACTTATGATTACATATTAAGCTTAACTTGTTCTCCATGTTAAAATGTTAAATCAGAGCTATTATTATTAATTGTTCATTCCTGTCAGCTGAATTAGTATATTAGATCGTGAAGCTTCATCTCTGTTCCTGAATTATGATGTTTGTGTGTGAGAGAGATTGTAATAGGTATTATATAGAATATTTGGCATGAGTGTCTAAAATCTTACCTGAAAATATTTTTAACATATATTACATTTAGTTGTTTTGGTGTAAAGATTTTTTAACTGTTACTGTTTGAGTGCACAGGTTGTTATGTAAAATAACCAGTAGTACATGTCACAATTTTCATGAAGCTGTTACCATGTGTGTTAATTATTCTGTATAGATAATATTGCAATGAGTAATATTTATGAAAGTGTGAGAAAAGAGAAACAACTTTAATTTGTGTCTTGTTTTGTGGAATGTCTGTTTAGTAATACAGTGTTTTTATGCTTGTGTGAAAATAGTATTAAACTCAACCCTGTTTTTTGAAACAAAAGTTGAAAGTTTTATTCCTACCTCACTTTAGGCAGACCTGTTAGACGTTTTTACATCATCAGGACCAACCATCCAGTATGGTCAGACTGCAGACAGTCTCACCTTTTTCAGGTAGCCACTAGGCACAGGAGTTATTTTATAGGAACTAACAATTTGATTATTATCAATTGATATAATATTTCAGAAAACTGTTCTGAATACTTGTCACTGTGTCATCAAAATTTCTCATTTAAATATGTTTTTCTGTTACTTATATGTATACTTTTAGAACAACATAAGTAAGCTTATTGTAATACATAGTGTACCGTGTACCATATGTTATGCAGCAGTGAACTCAAAGTTATTCTGTAGTAACATAGGTATAGGTGGAGAAGTTGCCCCATGGCCAAGAGGTACGCAAACCCAAATGGACCAGTGAAAATTATAGTTTTTATACAAAAGGAAAAAATGATAAAATAAGAAATGATAAAATAGGATCCGAAAATGAGGAAAGAAAATAACAATAATTCTTTTATCTCTGTATTCAGTATATATTGAACAAGCTTTCAATACTTCTTTTAGTTACCTTCAGGTTAATTTACATGCAATAGATATAAATTTTTGCAGAATAGTAACTACATTTGTCAATAAAATTAGTGAAGTACGATGTAATATACAGAATTACTATAGCTCAAAAACTTTTGTAAGAACCTTTTACAAAAATTTTTTATAATTTTATAGCAATAAATCCATCTCAAAGAGATTTATTAATTTACCCACAGTATAAAAATTTAAAACAGAAATTTTGGCAATATTGTATTGGGATTTATGAATGGCCCCATTGATACTAAAAAAGTACACATTTTACTCTGTCTGGCTAACCCTAATTTCTGTTGATTTTGAGAATATATATACAAGAGAAGTTTCTTGTAATGGTAATCATTATTAGATTACAATAATTTCAAAACTGTCTTATAATTTATCGTATGAAAAATATTTTGATGTGAAATGACTAGATTTCAAAGGAAAAGCCAGGAAATAAAGGAAATTGTTGTGTATGTGCATTCTTGGGAGGGGAGTTAGTAAGTAGAGGGTTGGTAAACCATAGAAAAATGTTGCCCAATGTCTTTCATTTCCTTGCTGCACCACCTGAAGTTTGGCCCACCATTTAACTTGTTTCTCTCAAAAACATGGATTCTGTTAGTGGCTATGAATGTAGTGAGACTTATAATTACTTTTTTTGTAATTTTAATATATTTTAAAATGAAATAAGATGAATACAAGGCTCTTCTTTTTCCTTTTTTTTAATAACACATTTTTTAAAATCCACAGTAATGTTTCCGGTATTATCCTTTTTAAATCGGTACATTCTGTGATTTGGTATGTCCTGTTATGTTGTCTGATATACTATTTCAACCAAGAGTTGAGAATGGCTAGATGTTTTAATATTAAAACACTTTTTTTAAGTTGAGGTTATAGCAGGGATTCCCAACCTTTTTATTCCTCTGTACCCCTTGGCCTTGGGCATTCTGACAGGTTCCCATGTAT